AAAACAAAAAAAAAAAAAAAAAAACGAACCCAGAAATCTCTGACATTATGGTATGTTTCAAACTCGTTCTTTATTTGATTTCTTCTCAATAATTGTGTTTTCACATGTCTTTTGCAATTTCGATAGGCAAATTCTGCATCAGGAATGGCAGTTCATGACGACTGCAAATTAAAGTTTCTGGATCTTAAAGCCAAAAGAAAGTTCAGGTTCATTGTGTTCAAGATTGATGAGAATATCCAACAGGTGATGGTCGAGCGAGTCGGTGGTCACGATGAAACCTACAACAACTTCCTCACAGCCATCCCTGCTAACGAGTGTCGTTACGCTGTTTATGATTTCGATTTCACAACTGACGAGAATTGCCAAAAGAGCAAGATCTTCTTTATTGCTTGGTATTATCTCGACGTATTTATCGTACTATTTAATTTACTAACTTACGAACCTTTTTTTTTCCTTAAATTTTTGTAATTTGTTTATGTAGGTCACCCGACTCGTCGAAAATAAGAAGTAAAATGTTGTATGCGAGTTCGAGGGATAGATTCAAGAGAGAATTGGATGGAATTCAAGTTGAATTACAGGCAACAGATCCCAGTGAGATGAGCATTGATATCATTAAAGCAAGAGCTATCTGAATCCCCACAGACAAAAGTAAAAAACTTTTTCACTGCAACAAACATTATTTTTTTACCTTACAGTTTTACCCTACGCTCCTAATTTTCAAAAATTTACCATTAGCTTTCCTTTTCTTTTGGGTCAATTCTCATATTGACACGTGTCATTTATTTATATAGTTGGTCCCTTTTCCATATTTTACGTCTTCAATTTCTTGTAATAGAATATATAAAAATTACATTACTCTTATAAATTTATGAATTTTTATATTAAATTTAATAAACTTGTTATTCGGTTCAATTTACTTCCTAATTTTTTAATTAAAAAAATTAAAATTCGTCCATCAAATTTAAAATTTAAGAAATTATTTTTTTCTCCATTGAACTTATGATCTCTTAATGAATAATATGTATGGTAATTATAAATTATTTATTGTTTTTTCTTTTAATAAATTAACCAAAAAAATTTCAAATATTATTAATATTTATATTTAATAGAAAAAAATGGAAATGCATAGCTGGATTAATATTTATATTATTTTGAGAATCCAAAAAATAAAATTTTAATCCAGCTATGCATTTCCAGATATTTTTTTTTCTATTCTTTTAAAATTTTGGACCGTACATTATATTTTCAAATTATAAATAATAAAAATATATTTATATATTAAATTTTAAAAAACCATTGCAATTTAATATTTTGATTATTCCTATTTTGCCCTCATCATAACCCGATTTTTGTGTGCGTCCTCTATTTTTTTGTTTCATTGTCACGGTATACAATAATGGACTATAGTATATCAATGATAGACCTTATAGTAAACGAGCTTCTTTTGTTTTATAAATAAGGTATATCAGTGAAAGACCTTATAGTAAATGAGCTTCTAGTCGGTCACTAACATACCTTGCACAAGCTCCATTTAAGCGCCCGACATGTCGTTAGCTTTACCCAATCTTTACATTCTTCAGTGGTCAAGTTTCAACGTTTTCAATGAAATCCTATTTGAATACTTCCAATGAATTCCCGATCAATTCTTTCGTAGATCACAAGTCAATTCTTTTTGTATGAAAGGTACGTGACTGAGTGATATATAAGTCGCGTTATTTAATAAAAAATAACTTAAATCATAAGTTTAGTCCATAAACTTTTATATTTCTGTCTAATTGATCGTGGATTTAATATATGGAGTTTTCCTAAATTAAATTTTATATCTAATAAAATTATTTATTTTAAATTTTGTGTGGATTAAATTTATATATTTTAAAAAAAAAACTCAAATAGATCGAACATTTTTTTAACATTAAAAGACTGAATAAAAATAAATATATAAATCAGGCATTTAAAAAAATTAAAGATGAAAAAAATACAAAATTAAAAAAAATATATATATTTTCCGGCAGATATTTTGGTCAAAAACATAAAAGAATTATTTATTAAATGGGCCCACGTTGTCGGGTCGACCACGATCATTATAAATAAAGCAATTGCATCTAATTCTATCTAAAACGTCGACGTTTCACCTTGCCGACATCTACATATCGTATCTGACTGACGTGGCAAAATTGCATTGATTAGCGCTTTTTAGCTGTCCATAAGCTACGATTAAAACGCGTAGTCGATTCCAACGGATCGCCAAAATTACCCGCCAACACTAACCGTCAGATCAGATTTTGACCACAGTCACTTACTAGTCAAACAAATCAACGGCTGACAAATCAGCACTGCGTCAAAAACCATGGACCTCACATGCAAATCCCACTGTCAGTTGTAAGGCTTACACCCCCACCGTTTTTTGATGAGCTCTCCGACCTCTGAGTATATATATACGTAAAGGCCCACAGAGGATAGCGATAAACGTAGGTGAAAATTTTTGGAGATTTTTCATTTCTAATCATTTTTGCTCCGAATTCTGAGAACGATGGTTGCGGCGCCAGAAAATTCCGATTCCTCTCCTGCTTCAGTGCCGCCGCCGGCGTCAGTTGAGGATAAGGAGAAAGCCTTGGTTCCAGTGCCAGTCTCTAATAGTAATCTCTCTTTCTTCCTCTATGTTATCTGTTCGTTGTTGTGCTTTGATTGTTGCTTGTGATTGCGATGATATCGATTTGTTCATTTCTGTCTCATTTCTTACCTTGATTTATCTCGATATGAAGTGTTGGAGTGCTTGAATTATAGGCTTAGGCGAATTGTTGTGTGCTTTTTTCTTCATAGAGCGCGTACTGTGCATAGATTAGGAATTCAGGCCTTCGTCTTGTTATACTTTCACACTCTGTTTGATCGTCGAGAAATGGATCTAGTCGAAGAATAGAATCTGTACAAATTTGATTGGGAGTGATACCGATGCGTGGAAATTTGTTAGATCCAATTGAAATGATGAACTCCATATCACGATAATGAACTCTTTCTGATGTTAGTATTGCATTGTTGGAGAAAGTCAAATGTAAATCCATCGCCTTCATATCTGTCGAAGTTCTTTTAATTCTATTCGTATGGGAGAATATTTTCCTCTTCATTAACATGCGGAACGTTTCACTCTTCTTTTTCAAAGTTCAACAATGACGCGAAAACATCAATGTTTAGGGTTGCATTTGGTATTTATCCAATAAGTTAGGTTTGGATTGAATCGATATTTTTATCTTTCTTTTGTAGTTTAGTACCATTTTGGTCTTTTATTTCCTAAGTACTTCCTAATTCCCAATCCCTGCATAATACTATTCACGGAAAGTCTCGTTTCACTCTTTTCCCGGATTTCCAGAGATGAAGATAAATAAGTTTTTGTGCCTCTTGAATAATTTTTCCTCTCTTTGTTTTGTTATCAGTGACATATGCTGTACTGGGCCCATAGGCGTTTCTGATACTCTTTGGTTTTAGCTGCCACTTAATTTATTCTTCAATATGCTTAAAGTGACAAATTGAAGATTATGCTTTAGCTTTTTATTAATTGTTTCCTTTATAGGTGTAAAGGAAGACATTGTTAAAAAAAAAAGCTACAAATTGACATTATAGCTTTCTCTAATATGATTGTCTAGTAATTAGCAGTTGGGTAAGGTAGAATCAAGGCATTCGTCTTTATCGATACTTTTGAAGATGCTAATGCTAAATAATGCATCACAGCTGTCTAGCGTCGTCTTGAAGAATGATCTGTGTCCTTTCTGTCATTTGATTCTTCTTACTCAATAAAATTGGCCAAGAATTTTAATTAAACTTGTTTAAGTTGCATCTTAACGACATACTACCTTATGGTTTTAACTTGCCATCTGTTTACTTTCCTTGGTAACTATTGATGGGGTGACAGGGTTCAGGCAATCGGTCTAACTCTTACCATGGATGGAGTTAGACATCTTGGCTGTGATTTGAAAATCATCACTCAGTTTGCTTTATACTGCGTATACTTCAATTTATTTTCATCCAAATTTCTTGCTAAAGTTACTATAGCATTGCTTTTGTCCCACCTTGATAACTTTTGTTTCCATCTTTTATTATAGCTTGTTTGATTTTCCTTCTAGTTTAATGGCTTTGTACTGTATTATACAGTTACCTTTGTTTATTGCATTAATTAGCCTGAAAACTCTATCTATGGGTGCTTTTACAATTGCTTTACTGTTGGATCTTGGCAGAAACCAAAGAAGATTCTGTACCAAAGAAAGCCTCCGGTGGATCAATTGACAGGGGTGAGCGTACAGCACGCATCTTATCCCATCTAAGTCTTCTAGTTTTACAACAATAAAATATTTTAAAACTTTTGTGCTGAAATCACAAGATTGTCCTGAAGAATGCTATATTTGCTGTGGTAACAAGTTGATCGTTCACAAACTGACCTGATCCTCAATTGTCTTAGATATCGCTCTTGCGGAGGTTGAAAAGGAGAAAAGGTTTTCCTTCATCAAGGCCTGGGAAGATAGTGAAAAATCAAAGGCTGAGAACAAGTAAGGCTTTGATTGAACTCATCCTATTTACTTATTAGATACAGGGGAACGAGCTGGATTCTGATTCCCAACATTCATTGATGTAATTTCCAAACTTAAAATTCAACTTTTAGCTGTATCACATCAGTATTCATGTCATGATAAGAACTTATGAACTGAAATATTTGTCTGACTATTTAATAGGTCACAGAAGAAGCTCTCTGCTGTTTCTGCATGGGAGAACAGCAAAAAAGCCAACCTTGAAGCAAAGTTGAAAAAAATTGAGGTAACTATTAATTCCTGTTCCTATTCTCGGGTTTAACAACAATTTCCAATTGGATATTTTACTTAGGAGGTGAGCTCTTTATCGAAAACACTCTGCACTTTTTATTAACAACAATCGATAAGAGATTACAAGTGGAAAACACTCGACACTTTTTATTAACACCAATCGAGAAGAGATTAGAACACTATAAAAAAAATTATTGCACCTTATACTTTGTATTTCTTTTGAATGAAAACCTAGTTAGGGTGGAGAATATTTACAATAGAATCTATCCCTAAAATATCTCGATCTTTGGGTGGAGGGTATTTATCTATTCCTAAGATATCTTAATATTTTTCATAAAATATGTGAATTTTTTTCTTAAAATATGTAGGTAGCTTCATTCTTAAAATACCTCAATCATTCATTTTTTTCTAAAATGAATATATGAATATGGGTTCATACAATTAGAGTATAAATGGCAACGACAATTAGAGTAAAAAGAATGGGAAATTTTCTGGATTTAATTTGAGAAAGAAAAGTGGAGAAGGAGAAGTGTGGAATTGTAGTATAACAAGGTTGAGAATAACAGGAACAATTGGAGAAGAAAAAGGCTGAATATGGAGAAAAAATGAAAAACAAAGTAGCCATCATTCACAAAGAAGCAGAAGAAAAGAAGGCAACGGTGGAAGCGCAACGGTCGGAGGAGCTGCTAAAGGCGGAGGAGACGGCTGCCAAATTCCGAGCAACCGGAACCATCCCAAAGAAATTTTTGGGATGTTTTTAAATGTGTGATCAATTAATAATCCTGTGTGTATTTTCCTGTTTTTACGTGTATATCTTTTCATGTTTGGACGTTCGTCTTCGTCTTCTTCGTCTTCGTAGTGTTTAAGAATTTTGTTTTGTTTATATAAAAATGTAAGATAAAAGTGGTGTTTTGGGTTTTGTTTGTGTGTTTCAAAAACTATAGTAAACTTTAAAGGCTCATTATACCATTTACACTGTGAA